GATTATAATTAAAGTCCCACTTTCAAAATGCTGTAAAAAAAAAGAACCACTCGTCACAATGAGTTCAAATTCGAACTGAAAATACTTGAAGAAGGGGGGACGGTACGGCATCAAAAAAAAAAAAAAAAAAAAGAAGAAGTTCCACCGATTTTCCCCATCCAATTGGGCGCGATCTTGCCGTGGTGGGTGGGCTTTTCACTCACAGTGTCACGATTTGGAAATTGAATGACTTTTGACTTGCAACTGTTGAATGACTTTTTCCGTCAAAAAACCGAAACAATCATGTACATTGAACACTACTGTTGGTTTAATGTTCAACTCATGCCAAATACGTAGTCATTTTGATTCAAAATATCAATGGCAGCCGAATTTCTTTATGACGCTTTTCCCCATCCAGTTGGGCGCGACTTTGCCGTGGTGGATGGGCCTTCCTCTAACAGTGTCATAATCGTCGAATGACTTGGAAATCATTTTTTCCGTCAAAAAACCGAAAAAATCATGAGCATTCAACACTAACGTTGGTTTAATGTGCAACTCATGCCAAATACGTTGCCGTTTCGATTCAAAATATCACTGGCAGCCAAATTCCCTTTCTTTATGCCGCTTACAGTACCATCTATTAATACACTTTGGAAAATTTTTTGATGGCGTACCGTTTCCCTCTTTCTCAAGTATTTTCAGTTCAAATTTGAACTCATTGTGACGAGTGGTTCTTTTTTGCAGCATTTGGAAAGTGGGATTTTAATTATAATCACCCTGTATGTGCATATATTCTGCAGATTCTTTTGTTTAAATAAAAGAATATTGTTCATTAATTATCTATTTATAGTCTCCAAAATATTATAGTTATCTAATTTCTTTTAATATTACAACTAGAATTTGGCTGATTTAATTCATATTTTTATTTTCAGGGTAACAATATGTAAATACATAACTAATAAAATACACTAAACTCTCAAATTAAGCAACAGATTCGCATTGAATTTCAATAGAAATGGCTATTCTTAACTTTTAGTTAATGACGTCTGGAAAGAAAATGTAATCCGCAAGTTTCTCTTAAAAAAAAAAAATGCTAAGTATTGAAAGAAGCTGTTAAATCAATATCTGTAAATGATTATCAAAGCTTTCTTACTTTTCCATATCACAAATTAATTGGAAAAAATAAAATTCAGAGTATAATTAGAGAATTTTTTTTAGAATAAAATGCTACTTCCGCAAGTATATTGTTTTTAGGGTTAAATAAATTAAAAATAATGCTCAAAAGAATATTAAAAAAAAAAAAAAAAAAAAAAAAAATTTTTATTTGTTGCTACAGTAAATGCCATTTAAAGTATATGAATTTATCATGTGACTATGTTCCACAGAACAACTCATAATCAGCAAAAAGAACCGCATGAAAACTACGCTCATAATGTGTCGATTTAGAGCCAGTGTGGCCAACCCGAATATCGTTCATAAAAGACTTTTTATTCCTACACTCGAGTTCAAATACATATTTTATGAACTTGTAGTGGATGGCACTGGAAGTTAATACAGTTTTTTTCAAATATTAATTCATCAATTAAATTTAACTCATTAATTTTAGCTATGTTTAGATTTAAGTTGCATCTATCTACCAATAGATGGTTCCAGATGTAAGAGGAAAATTTCAACTTTATTTATAAAGGATTTTTCTGCAACAGAGTGAGAAAAAGTAGGAATTGACTTAAAATTTTTTTTTTTTTATATTACTTGTTTTTAAAATTAATAACGTGAATTTATGGATGCTTAATGTAAGTAAGAGGAATAATACGATAAGATAAATATTAAATGGACTCTATTGATTGATTATGTCTCTAGGAAATCTTTTTCATATTAAGAAATGGATAGAACTCGTCTTATTTAGAATAATAATAATAATAAAAAATTGTCTTATTGCGAGGAATCTTTAGTGCAGGGGTGGCCAACCCAAATGATCTTACGGGCTTTTTTGGAAATGCATCCCAACTCAGCGGACCGCATAAAAAAATTAAATATCCCCATATTAGATTTAGACCTACTACAGACATTTTTTTCACCCACATTGAAACATAATAAGTTATTATTATTGTGCTTACTATTATTCTTATATGAAAACGTAGATAATGATACTAAGCGCACGTTGCAAAGAACTCTATAACACCAAAAAGGAAATATAAAAAATATATAAATATAAACGATTTCGTTTATATTTATAAAAAAGATGAAATCCTTAAAAAATATTTATTTTACAAGTGCAATATTTGTTTCTCCACTCTTTCACTTAGCTTTTGGACTAAGCTTACTTAAAATTAATTTGGACAAAGAGTTCTAAAAATTAAAATTCACAAAGTACAGTTATCATCCAATTTATTTACTTCTTCGGCGGAATCAACTTCTCAAAAAATACACTTTTCTGCATGAATTTTGATGATGTGATTTTGTAAGTGATGATTCTGAGAGAAGGCCTTGGCACAAACAGGACACGCGAAGGGTCGTTCTCCGGTATGAGTCCTCAGATGACGTTTCAGATCGTTGTTCTGGTTAAACGCTTTGCCACACTGAAACGGACACTTGAAGGGACGCTCTCCGTATGAGTACGAACGTGCTTTTTCGCATTAGAAAGTTTAGATGAGCGGTATTCACAAAAGGGACATAGATGCATCTTCAAATCTCCATCAAATGGGCAGCTGACATCTGCAAAAGAGATACAAATTTAAGGCGGATTTAATTATCGATATCACAATTTCACCCACACACACAAAAATAATTTCTGAAATTTAATAATTCTTGATTTGAATAATTTTATAGCACTGTAATCGTGGTTCCACCCGTAACCGTGTTTCTTTTCTACGCGCTGCAAGAGCGTCCCTGTGAAAAGTTCAGTTGGCATTGAACCTCCCGCCCGAGAGGACACACGGTGCAACTGACATTGAATGACAATTTATCATCCCGTGAGCTAGAAGTGGAATCCTTCCACTAAATATCTAGTTGAATGTTCTTTAAATATACATGCTGTGTGTTAAATAGCATTTATTGTTTGTATTTAATTGTAGTACTTGTGCGAGTCAAAAAATAAATCTGTGTATTCTTGGACTTGGAACTCGTTTTGACCACACCCAAACCAAGCAACGACACATCTACTACAACATGAAATTTTTCTCGAAGAACGACTTAAAAACACAAAGAATTGGAAAAAGTAAACTTATTTATAAAAACTGAAAAGATGTAGGGAAATTAATTTGGACAAACAGTTCTAAAAATTAAAATTTCACGAAGTCCAGTTAGCATCCAATTTATTTACTTCATCGGCAGAATCAACTTCTCAAAAAATACACTTTTCTGCATGAATTTTGACATGTTTTTGTAAGTGATGATTCTGAGAGAAGGCCTTGGCACAAATCGGGCATGAGAAGGGACGCTCTCCGGTATGAGTCCTCATGTGACGCTGCAGGGCACTGTTCTGAGTAAATGCTTCGCCACACTGAAACGGGCACTTGAAAGGTCGCTCTCCTGTATGAATAAAAACATGCTTTTTCACGTTACAAACATTGGCCGAGCGGTATTCACAGTAGGGACATTGATGCATCTTCACATTGCCTTCATATCTGCTAACGATCCCTGCAAAAGAAAATAAGAGTTAGCCTGATTTTATTGATGGACATGAGAGTTTAACTCAAAAAATGCAAGATTATGTATATATATATATATATACTTATTTCAAATGGCAAGGCAAGTACAAGAAGAATAAAAATAATAATAATAACAAAAATAACAAGGAAAAAAATACAAAAGAATAAACGTCCAAAAAATGCAAAGATGACCGAAGTCATTGCTTTAAGAGTTCTCTCGCACGCCAGTAAAGCGCTGTCTCCGTCAAGTACCGCACATCGTCGGAGGTGGTCTCTGTTCATTGGGTCTGTTGAACCACATAGGGGGCAGCCAGAGTTCGAAAAGATTTTAATGCGATGGAGATGTTCTGCTAGACAGTCATGGCCAGTCAGAAGTCGGAATTGGGCGACAGCATGCCGTCGCGGATTGCTGGGTATTGCTAAAAGATCTTCAGCTCTCCAACGCTTTGACTTCATCCCATCTTGAATTTGAAATTTGTGGTTTTTAGTCATTATTTGTTTGATATAAAGTTTTATAGAATGGAGTGACAGTGACGAAGATCTCATTTGAAGTAGTTTTGAGCCTCTTTTTGCTAGACAGACAATCGGCCTGTTCGTTCTCAAAAATGCCACAGTGGCCAGATATCCACTGAAGTACCACCCGTTTCATTTTTAAAGTCAGATCCCGCAAATGATTTTGACACTGGGAGATTTCCTCTGATGAAGGTGGCTTGGTGGAACATCTTGGTGGCCATCTTTCAGTGGATCATCAGATCCACATACAGTGGATTCCAATGTCGACCTTGAGGGGAATGAAATGGCAGATGCATTGGCAAAGCGGGTGCTAGTGAGGTAGTGGTCCCACTTGAGCCCCTTACCTACACAGAAATCTACTCCCAAGCTATGTTAATTGGAAAAACTATTTGGTCTACTCCCCTAGTGCACCAGTGGTATCGGGGCCATCGACCTGGCGGTATTTTGGCACTTAATTGTGACAGGCAGGGACAAACTGCAATCACTCGTTTGCTCAGTGGACACCTCAGAACTATGACTCTCTCAGATGGTTTGAAAGTTTTCGACACTTGCACCAAGTGCTCCTCTGAGCAGAAATACATGTTGTTGTTGTTTCTTATCCCACTTGGCTGGCCAAGCCTACGAACCCATACGTACTCATGATTGAAGGGGAAGGAAGCAGCTTCTGTTGTGATGGAGCACCTGTAGGTAGAAGCCTGACTTTTGCTCCGTGACGCTCTTACAGTCATAGGAGACCGGGACCTACGGCTTAAAGTGGATTCCGAACCACTAGAAACATCCATGGCACCGCCGGGATTCGAACCCGAAACCTATAGCACCGAGCACCAGACACTCGGCCATTCAGGTCCCAAATTTGCCAACGGCACGCGGTGTTCCCAGGTGGTCACCCACCCAAGTACTGACCGCGCCCAATGATGCTTGACTTCGGTGGTCTAACGAGAAATACATAAATGCTATAAAGACCCAAATATTACAAAATTTATTGCGATCAACAGTTTAAACTGTGCTGCTCATGTATTTAGAATGAATGATTTAAACCATGTAAAAAGGCTCGTTTTGGCAAAGCCACATGGAAACAACGGGACTACCCAGGTTGCGATGGATAGACGCAGTTGAAGAGGATTTTGCTGTACTGGGGGTTAAGAATTGGAGGAACCTTGTCGCACAGAGGAATGCATGGAAATATCTTGGCCCACCCTGGGCTGTCGTGCTAATGATGATGATGAATAATTCTTGATTTGAATAATTTTACAGCACACATTTTTGATTCAAATGTTTAAAAACCAACAGATCGGATGGATCAAGCAAGCGACTCTACAGAACAGCAATAATAATGGACACAAAATTAAAATTTATTTAAACATAACTGGGGCCTGATGATCGAGTGACTAGCTCTCAATGCCACATGGTTCGAGTCCCTGCGGTGCCATGGATGTTTATAGTGGTTCGGAATATATTTTAAACCGTAGGTCCCGGTCTATTATGACTGTAGAGCGTTGGGCGTAGAGCTGACAACTCTACCCCGTAAAAAGAAAAACATCTCCTGTCTCGAAATCTGCCCGTAGGCAGACGGCCTTCGTTAACAATGGGGCTGTTGCGCCAGTGATGATGATGACCAATAAAGTTATTAATATTTTATGTTATAGATAGGAATACAAATTTCTTTGACAAATTAAAAAAAAATTTTTTATCAAGTTAGAATTAATAATCAATTAGCATTTAATAGTGAATTAATTTCTCTGAAAACTAATCTTTTAAATTTATAAATAAAAATATGAAGCCGAAAATAAATTATTTTCAAAACCAATTTAATAAACATGAAAAATTAACAAGCATATTTAAGAAGAAGTAGCAGAATTTTAGTAAAAAAAAAATCTACATTGAATAAAATTCAAAATAAAATATTAAATTCATACAATTTATAACAGAGTTTAGAGCCTCTGTAACAAATATAGCACAATATTAAGATTCCTTTTTTACACTCTTTTGATATAGAAAAAAATATAATGCGTTAATTATCTATTATATTTTTCCAAAATATTTCGATATTAAATTCCTATCAACATTATAACTAACTTTTATTACTTTAGCATCATGAAAAGCAAAGTAATCTTTCACACACACACACACACAAAAAAAAAAAAAAAAAAACCCACTATTCTAATAATAAAGGAATTTGAAGAGTACATCTTAGTCTACGGCCGGCCAACCCGCGGCCCGCCTTGAACATTTTTCCGGCCAGTGAGATTTGTCACAATTTTACAAAATATATATATTTTACAACGGCCAAAGTAAAACCCAATGTATTAAAAAAATACATTATGTGTGCATCCCTATATTCAAACATGAACAGTCGAAATGATGAGAAAATATTAACTTTGATTTTAAAATAATATTCTTGCGAATATAGGACAGATATAGCCTGTTTTATTGATGAGTTCGCAGAATCTCAATGATGAGTCTGATGATGAGTCAATCAATTGATGAGTTCGCAGAATTACAATCTGCGATTCATCTCTCTTTCATGTTGAAATCGAGACGGCCCCACAATATCTCCAAAATGAAACTGGTTGACTTACAACGCAAAATATTGAATTAAAACACATTTTTGAAACATCAGAATCAAAAACAGAGTTTTATAACAATGACATCACAAAAGAGAAATTTTCCAATTTGAGAAATCTAGTACAAAAAAGGTGTTAGCGCTCTTTGTTCAACTTACACCTGCGAATCGTTTTTTTTCGAAAATAAAATTGACTAAACACAAAACACGCTCAAACATAACGGACCTAACACCCTTTACGACGTGCAAATAACCAAACCTAGGCTGATTTGCAAAAGCGAAGTGAAAGAGTGGAGAAACACATATCGCACTAGTCAAATAAGTATTTTTTACTGATTTCATATTTTTTTTATTTCGTTTATACTTCATTTTGAGTGTTGTATATTTCTTTACAATGTGAGTTTAGTATCATTATTATCCATTGTTACATGCATTGGGTTGGTGCACAATTATCAAGCGTTTTTAAACGATATCATCAGGCGTTCTTGAGCACTATCATTAATCCGGAGCAGTCACCATCTATTTCAATAACTGCTTCCCAATTGCTTGGAGGACGGTCGATTCCACTGGCAAAGACTTCACGGTTCTTGGAGGCAATCCATGCTTTGACATCCGCCACTAAGTTATCGAAATCGTCATAAACTTTGTTCGCCTGCCAGTTTTTTAGCGACCCATTGCCGCGGTAGTGGGAGGATATGGCGGATGTGGAAGCAGTTCCCAGCCCTTATTGGCGATGCATTCAAAAACACGACGCTCAACAAGTGGACGCGCATTATCGTGGTGGAAGACGATGCGTTTCTTTTTGTGCGGTCTTTTCGTCACAATTCCAGCGTGAAGGCGGTCGAGTTGAGTCAGGTAGACCATGCAATGCATAGAATTATTCATGAAGAACTGCATATGAAAAAATTAGTTTGTCGTTGGGTCCCCCATAATTTAAAAGAACATCAAAAAACGGAGCGAGTCATAATCTGCAAGGAAACCATAAAATTACTTAACGATGGCTTTTTTTCTAAAATCATAACTGGTGATGAAACTCACATAACGTTTTTTGACGTTCCTACTCGACAAGAAAGTAAAGTATGGGCCTTTGAAGATGACCCCAAAATAAAACGAGCAATGAAAAACGTAATGTATGCCGTTTTCTTCTGAAGTACGGAACTGGTCAAAGCCATCAAGCTGGAGGGACAGAAGACAATCACAGCTGACTGGTACACCACTAAGTGTCTTCCAGAACTTCTTCAAGAAGTGAATGTAAGGGGACTCATGCTTCACCATGATAATGCATCTTTTCATATGGCAAGATCGAATTTCTTAAACACATCAAAGAGATAGGACATCCACCCTATTCCCCTGATCTTGCTATATGTAACTTTTGGCTTTTTTTTAATCTCAAGAAAAATTTACGTGGTTCGCCGCTTTCATTCTGAAGATGAGATTGATGAGGCTATAAAAGTATATTTTTCATCAATTCCAAAAAAAATGGATGGCGTGAAGCATTTAATCTTTGGAAAAATAGTCTGCGAAAGTGCATTGATGTTGGAGGGGACTACTTTGAACACTCTTAAAATTTGTTAAGTTACACTTGTACCATTTAGCCGTATCTCAAAAATTTCAGAGTGACCCCCGTATTTGGCACAAACGAATCATCCTTCGGTATGAATCTTCATGTGCTTGTTCAATCTCTCTTTACGGGGAAATCTTCTCTCACATACAGAGCACGCGAAAGGGCACTCTCGGGTGTGAGTCCTCGTGTGTTTGGTCAAATCATCTTTTCGACAAAATCTTCTCATACAAACAGAACACTGAAAAGCACGCTCTCCGGTATGAGTCCTCAGATGACGCTGCAGGACAATGTTCTGACTAAATGCTTTGCCACACTGAAACGGACACTTGAAAGGGCGCTCTCCGGTATGAGTCTTCGTGTGTTTGGTCAAAGCATCTTTTCGACAAAATCTTCTCATACAAACAGAACACTGAAAAGGGCGCTCTCCGGTATGAGTCCTCAGATGAACCATCAGTTTGCTGTTCTCTCTAAACGCTTTGCCGCACTGAAACGGGCACTTGAAAGGTCGCTCTCCACTGTGAGTCATCAGATGAACCTTCAGTTGACTGTTCTGATTAAATGCTTTGCCGCACTGAAATGGACACTTGAAAGGTCGCTCTCCGGTGTGAGTTAAGACATGATGTTTCACATGGGTGAGTATAGATGAGCAGTATTCACAAAAGGGACATTGATGTATCTTCTGATTGATTTGAACTCTCCTAAGAAAGACTGCAAAAGAAAAGAAAATTAGACACGCCATATTTACGGATATTAAAATTTCACTTAACAAAAAAAAAAAAAAAAAAAAAAAAATTGAACTGATCCACTTTTCTTATATAATGATTTATAACTTAATAGCTCCTACAAATAAACAAGTAATATATAAAAAAAAAAGTTTTTTTTTAAAGTCAATTCCTACTTTTTTTTTCACTATATCGCAGAAAGACCTTAATAAATAATTTTCATTCATTTTTTTAAGTTCATCTGACGCCATCTATTGGTAGATATATGCAACTTAAATCTAAAAAAAAAAACGCAAAAATTAATTAATTAAATTTAATGACTGAATTAATATTTGAAAAAACCGTATCATCCAGTGCCATCCACTACAAGTTAAAAAAATGCATTTGAACTTGAGTGGATGAATAAAAAGTATTTTATGAACGATTGAAAATGTGAACAAGATATATACAGGGAGAGTGTGAGCTAATAGAAGGAATTGGAAAAAGAATTTCAAAACAGAAACGTTGTCTGAAATGAACTGTATTAACTTTCGAATTTTAGGTACCAAAATACAAGTTATTTCATCTACCCCTAATTTAAAATCATTTATTATAACTAGAGAACATAAAATACATTATTTGAGAGGAACACTTTAAGTTAAAAACGTTCTAAAGTGCGTCACCTCAAGTGTGTCATAGTTTAGAGGTGTCTTTCCGAATAGATGCTTTGCCACATTTAAAAAGAACACTTTAAAGTTTGTTCCGACAAAAGATAATGAATTAAGACAGATTCAAACTTTAAGACAGTTAAACAAACACACACAAAAAAAAAGCAAAGTAAAACTAGGTGTATAGAACAAATTTCATTCATAAGGTTGTAAGACGTAAAAATACAAATTTTTTTGTTGATGCGCTACAATTTTAAATACGATTTCTGCACATATTTATAGTTAAAAAACAAAAGTTAAAATACAATAAAAAGTATCAATTGGATCATTAGATTCCCCAGACCTTTTATTTTTATTTCCAAATAAAATTCCTACTATCGAACAAAGGAATGAAACGACCGACTGAAGATTTTGAGCATTTTTTATGCCTTGTCAATTTTGCCAT